GAGCAGGCTGAGGCTCTAACCCTGAGGTGGGACATGATACCGGTGCTGAGCCAAATCTTGGATATTGCTGGAAGATACACCCTGTTTATGTTTGTTTGCTGAAAAGAAGCAATTTGAGTTGTAGTGTTTGGAAGAAAATAAGTTATTATGTTCCAAAGCGGCCTGGCTAAGGATCCTTAAATACCTTAAACGTTACATTATGTTGAATTAAAAAGTCTCCTAATATACAGTATAATGATCTCCAGTGGCGGTGCTAGTGCAAGGCAGCACAAGCTGCTGCCTGAGGGCGCTGTTGGGGGGTCGGAGAAATGGTAGCGAAGGTGGATCCCCCCCCTCCCCCCCGGTGCCCTTAGTTGGCTACCTATGCATCCTTACGCTTGCACTAGCCTGGACCACATTGCTAGGGTGTAACATGAACAAATTGCAACCTCCCCCTTACCTGAATCACAGGGTTTTTCTCCCCACAGGCTGCTTTTTTTAAAAGGTGTGCGGCTGTGTGTGGCTCCACTAAAACAGCCACGTCATCCATACCGTCTGCCATCTTTTTTTCTTTTCTTTTTTTTAAATGTGTGCGTTCGCGGGGGCTGGGGATTTTAATTTTTTGGGGATTTTTAATTGTAGTTTATTTAACTTTTTATTTTTTTTTTTACTTTTTTTTTATTACTCCAACGTGAAGCCAATCAATGGAGAAAGGCAGCAGAAAAAGAAATAAAATAACTCCAAGAAAATAAAATCTGGACACTCACAGAGCTTCCCCCCGATCGCAGAACTATAGGAAGAAAATTGACTTTTAAGGTGAAGCTTGATGCAAAAGGAAATATCCACAAATACAGGGCCAGATTAGTTGCCAAGGGATACTCCCAGAAATTTGGAGAAGATAACATTGAAACATTTACTCCCATCGTACAACACTCCACCATCAGAACACTCCTTAGCATTGAAGCCGGGAAGGGCATGCAAGTGAGACACCTAGACGTTAAAACCGCTTTCCTATATGGAGACATTAAGGAAGATCTCTACATGGGCTAACCACCAGGGCTTGAGCAAGGACACAATCTCGTATGTGAACTCCACAAGAGCATCTATGGACTCAAGCAATCTGTAAGAATGTGGAATGAGAAATTGAATAAAATACTCATGAAATAGGGATTCACAAGACGCAAAGCAGATCCCTGTCTTTATTCCAGGAATCAAGAAGACAGATGGATATACATCCTAATTTATGTTGATGACATTATAACCTGTTTTGAACAAGAAGGGGACAACAGTCCCCTTCTTCTGATGGGACTAAATTGCCCATCAGAAGAAATGACTGCAGATGCACTCACCAAGCCATTGCCAAAGGGTCGTCACAGTTTCCTTCGAGAGAAGCTAAATGTCATATAGCAAAGCATATGATGATGAGAATGGTTGTTGGAAATACAACAGCCGCTGACATGTACTGATTGTATTACTGGCATTCAGAGATGTAATTATGTCTTTTGAGCAGTAGATGGCGATATAGTGCAATGTTACTCAATGCTAGCTTTCTATATGCCTGCTTGTATCTGGGGTGCAGAACTAATTGATGGTGTGGATAGTAAGGAGTGAGCTGTGTGTGCTGGGGTGCAGAACTAATTGGGGTTGTGGATAATGAGGAGCGAGCTGTGTGTGCTGGGGTACAGAACTAATTGGTGGTGTAGAGAGTGAGGAGTGAGCTGTGTGTGCTGGGGTGCAGAACTAATTGGTGGTGTGGATATTGAGGAGTGAGCTGTGTGTGCTGGGGTGCAGAACTAATTGGTGGTGTGGATAGTAAGGAGTGAGCTGTGTGTGCTGGGGTGCAGAACTAATTGGTGGTGTGGATAGTAAAGAGTGAGCTGTGTGCGCTGGGGTGCAAAACTAATTGGTGGTGTAGATAGTAAAGAGTTAGCTGTGTGTGCTGGGGTGCAGAACTAATTGGTGGTGTGGAGAGTAAGGAGCGAGCTGTGTGTGCTGGGGTGCAGAACTAATTGGTGTTGTGGATAATGAGGAGCGAGCTGTGTCTGCTGGAGTGCAGAACTAATTGGTGGTGTGGATAGTAAAGAGTGAGCTGTGTGTGCTGGGGTGCAGAACTAACTGTCTCCATTGTTTTGAAATTACATAAAAGGTTTGGCTGAACTTGGACTTTGAAGTGGAACTTTGCTCTGATGGGGCTTTAGCAACTCTTGCCATAACATGCACATTATGGCAGGCTAACCTCTGAGTTTGCCTTTCTCCATCCCTGACAGCTCTTCGATACCCATTGTCGACACTGCCATCTTCCTCTCCATCACCTTTTCTGGAGCCACGTCTTCTCTTTTCGGCCATTGGGTGGCCACTGATTATGTGACTCCTGTGCATTTGTGCTGGAGTCATCCCGGTACCCAAATCCATTTTAAACCCTGAGTGTATACTGCACTGCTGAGGCACTGCAGGCAGTGTAAATATAACAAATTGCTAGAAGAAAGGGGAACATATTTTTTTGCCAAAATAATTATTCAAAGTCACTTCTGCCTAAAGGCTCTACCTGCTAGTAGTTTATTTTTCTTAAGTTTAGCTATAAGTAACTAAATAACTGAAAAACATACATACATTCTGAAATGGTAGATGGTTCATGGTGACCCTTACTTATTGCCCCCTTTTGGTACATGTTTGATGTACCAGATGCTTTATTAGGTCCAAGGAAATGCAGTAGGTCGCTGGGCTACCCATACCAAAAAAAAAAAAAATTCTTGACTACACCATGATAAAGCAAAGTGATTGCATATATACAATACAGATTTTTTTTTTTATTAAAACATTACCTTTCCATATAAAAAAGTATAATTTGTACAATTTATAATGGCACTAAAATTACATTTCTTAACTGCATTTTATTCGATAATTTGTCCCATTTATAATTACACTAAAATTACAATTCTTAATTGCAAAACTATTCCCAATGGGAATTAATGGCATCTTTTTAATTTTGCGCATTTTTTAATGTGACACTAAAAATTATGAACAAAACAAAGTTTGAAAGTTAATGGTTTTAAAAAAACAATCAGCTGAAAAATAAGGCTGGGTTCACACCTAGACGTATCGAATATGCGCACTTGTCGCGTGTTTTTACAACGAGTCGCGGTAAAAAAAAACCCAGCAACAAACGCGCGTTTCCGAGGGCTACATGGCTGTATCCCAATGGATACGCGCGGCAAATATGCCCCAAAGAAGCTCCTGTACTTCTTTGGGCGTAGGTGGGAACCATGCCCATAGGCAATCATTGGTGTGAACCAGGCCTAAATACCTAATTGGTGAAAGGGAGGAAGGAGTTATTGGGGTTAATAAAGAGTTAAATAGCAACAATTTTTTTTTTTTCATGTGCGAGGTTGCTGCTGTGATATAGAGCTGTAGCACCTCGGGGAAATGTCATTGAGAGAAGAGGAACAGGGCATATGACATACTGTACGTAGGTTGTTGACGTTTTTCAAAGCGTGCACCCAAAGTCCTCAACTGCATAAACTAAGTGCAGTTATTACATATGTGACAGTTTGTTCAAAAAATCATTTTGTGCCTTTTAGGGCCCATTCAGACCACAACGCCCTGCACTGCAATACACATTTTTTTATGTGTTAAAGCATGTTGCAGCGCACTGCATTATGCAGCCCATAAAAAATGAATGGATGACAATGTACCTCAACGCAGAATTTTTAGGTATTTTTTTGCAGCCCAGAGCATTGCAAGTCTTTGTGCTGCGTTGCATTGTTAAAGTACATTGTAATACCATTCTAAATGAATGGCACCCAAATGCATGCACACTGTTTTACCGCACGTTACCACAACATCCCGACGTTCCAACTAGTTGAGCACAATCTATGTTTCTGTAAGGTTAATTTTACAGTGTGTATTGAGTTAATAGGTCTTAAAAGTCTGAACAATATTTAGGTTTAGTTGTATATTGTGAAAACATATTTACCAGCATTTGTAGTTCAATTATTCCATTGCTTATTCAGTTCTGATTAAGCCTATTGTTTTTCAGTGAAATGGTATTATTACATGCTGTCTTTATTTTTAGTGACTGTTCCCATTATGAGCTACAAGCTTTTAGTGACATCTACAGGCTTCAAGACTGTACTGCCTGTCAGAAGGAGTATGTTCAACACAGGGATCTGTAGTCAGTCACATTCAGGGCAACTTGTTTAGTGATGTTGAAGATGGGTCACCGCTCATCCAGGTTCCTGAGAACTGGGGAAGCTACTTGGATGAGTGGTGAAAAGTCTTCAACATCAGGAAACAAGTCCAAATGAATGTGACTGACTACTGCTAGCTATCATAATAAAAACTAAAGAGAATGGGGCTTTTAAGGTGTCACTCTAGGCATGAAAAACACATAATGCACATATGTCATTCAAAAATATTTTTTATATACATATAGATACAAAAAGAGCACTGTTGTTGTGCCAATCTGAAGGCCACAGTACAAGACTTTAGGATATATTAATGACATTATATGATGAACCTACGTATTTGTAAAAGATGTTTAAAATTGTTTACTATATTGTTGATGCATAGAATGTGGCTGTGTGGTCCAGGGAGGCTATGGTAATTTTAGATAATATTGTATCAAGGGATTTGCCGTGGATACAGTATTGTTGGAATTATAAATTGGCTCTTTTTTATCTATATGTATATAAAAAATATTTTTCAATGATATATTATCCCTCAGCACTGGGAGGGTCGCCCCTGGTAACGCACCTTGTCCCCGTGCCAATGGGGACAAGGGCCTCTTCCCCACAAGCCCTGGGGCGTTGCAGGGATGCGGGCCGGTCTGGCAGCGGCGAGCGTGAGGTGGGGAGGAGGTGCGTCGCGCAGCGTGTGTGGAGCCGTGAACAGGGCAAACCAATCGGAAGCCGATTCATCGAAGATTGAAAAAGTTGACAACTTTTTCAATAATCGATTATAATCGATTATGTCGATTAGTTGTTGCAGCCCTAATCCTAAGACTGCCTGTTTTCAGGCACAAGATGAAGGGCAACAGCTTGACTTTGGAGAATGCCTGCGCTCTCCCAAATAAAGATGATATGGAGGGCTATATCGCTAGATTGGAAGCCACCTACAAGGAGGAATTGAAAGATATAAAAACAGACATTTCCTATATAGGAGAGCGTGTAAATGGGCTGGAGGAAAATTTGGACATTTGTATCTCCAGATTGGAAATACAACAACAAGGTATAAATGCTCATTCAGAGTTGATGCAGGACATGATGTATAAAGTAGATGACATCGAAAATAGAAGTAAACGTAACAATATACGATTACAAGGCATTCCTGAGACGGTTGAGACACATGCCCTCTTCCAAACAGCAAAGGTCATACTGAATGACATTTGGGGGAAAACCCCAGAATCTGAATTAACTATTGATGGAATCTACAGAGTACCTGGTTATCTCAAAAGAGAATCTATAAGAACTAGAGATGTAATATGTCGTCTTCACTATTACACTGAGAAAGAAGCCATCCTAATAGCAGCTAGAACTAAGAAATCAATAACATATGATGGTTATACAGTAACTATCTTACCAGACCTCTCAAGACAAACATTGATGCTTAGAAGAGCCCTGAAGCCTTTATTAGAGATCTTACAGTAAAAAGAGATACGATATAGATGGGGGTTCCCTTTCCAGCTGATAGAAAACAAAAACGGAAGAACAGCAAGATTCAGAATGCCTGAGAATCTGACAGGATTTCTGGACACCCTAGATCTACCACAAATACAACTGACAGATTGGCCAATCGAATTAAATAAGATTGAACATTAACAAATGAAGGGGTGGACAGCAGTAAAGACTCGGGTGAACATATAAGCTGTGAAGGGAGAGGAAAATGGGAGAGCCTTGATATTTGTTAGAGTTTGTGGACCCCCGCCTCCCGCGGTTTCACCCCGCATCCCTCCACCTCCCCTTTTGATGCATCATTGGGGGTGAAGGGAGGGGGGGGGTTGCGTGGGAGGCGGGACACCATAAACAAAAATAAATATAAATACATTGATTAAAATAAAGTTTTTTTTAAGTTTAACCCCTTCATGACTGAGGCCTTTTTTTCATTTTATTAAGGTCTAAATAAATAATGGGGCAAAAGGCCTAGGCTTGTGGTGGGACGAGCATTTAGTGTTATTCTACTCGGCCACTACAGCCCTAATGTGGCTCTAATTGTATGGTTCATGTAAGTCGTTATTGTAAATGTATGAAGTGAGTATGAAGTGAGTAACGAGGATTAGAAAGGGAAAGTATGAAGTGGTTAGGATGTTGAGACTGAGTTGTTATTGGGTCTATCGGTTGAACAGGTCTAATACAAACTGTATTACGGGGAATATACAACTAAGTAATGATTAATTTAACATTGGCTACATACAATGTCAGGGGATTTAATGTACCAGAAAAACGCTCACACATTTTATATCATTTTCACAAAAAAAGAATGGATATGTTATGTTTTCAGGAAACCCATTTCAAGAAAGAGGCTATTCCTGATATACGGAATAAATACTACACGAAATGGTATCACATCACAGACCCAGAAAAAAAAGCAAGGGGGGTTTCAGTGGCAATTCATAAAAAGGCACAAATTAATGTAATGGATACAGTAATAGATGTAAAAGGGAGATATGTGCTTATGAAATTTTCTTATCTTAACCAATTGTTTTCACTGGTGAAAAATATGTATGCCCCGAATAAGGGGCAGCATAAGTTTTGCATGGGGGTACTGAGTAGATTTGAGCAATTTGGGATGGGAACAAAGTTGGTGATGGGAGACATGAATTACATTTTTGACACTAATTTAGATACCACGGGTAAACCTCTCCTTCCAGGAGAGGCTCTAAAAAGACTTAGAAGTAAAATGGATCACATGGGGTTGGTAGATGGTTGGCGTATATTATACCCCATGAAATGAGACTTTACATATTATTCCTCGGTACATAAGTCATATAGCCATATAAATCATATATGGATGCATCAGCGGATATTGGATTATCAACCAGAGATCGAGGTAGGCCCGATACTATGGTCAGACCATGCCCCAGTGTCTCTGACATTAGAAATAGACAATAGAAACAGAGATATAGGAACATGGAGACTAAATGATAACCTACTGAAAGACATAGCTTGCCAAGAAGAGGTGACACATACAATAAATAACTTTATAAAAGACCACCAAAACGGCATCACTTTAATCCCCATCCAGTGGGAGACCCTAAAATGTGTACTTAGAGGTATTTTAGTTAAAGGAGAACTATGAGATGAGTGATTTCCACTCACTTCATAGTTCTAGCCGACCTGTGACAATGAGACTGTCACGGGTCAGCTCAGTAGATCGGGAGGTGAGCGAACACATACCAGGTTCGCTCACCTCTCGATCCTGTCACGGCTCTCTGCCGTGACAGGGGGAGGGGCTGGATTCCCCTCTCCCCGCTCCGATCTGCCAGCGCTGACTGGCGGAACGGACGGGGGAGGGGGCGGGTACAGCTGGCTCTGCCTCTAGATAGGCAGAGCCAGCTGTCACTCACGCAGCTGGGCGGATCACGTCATCTACGTCAGGATCCGCTCCGGCTGCGGCGTCTCAGTATAGCTACACCTCGCCGTATACTGAGCTTAGGGTAACGGGAGGACGCTAGTTTGTGTCCTCCCGTTACCCTAAGGAGAACTATGGGGAAAAACACTGACCCCATAGTTCTCCTTTAAACACGGTTTCAGATTGAAGAAAGACAGGGCAAGAAAGCTGAAGGGACTCTTCCAGAAATATGAATTGGAGGCCATCAATAAGGTAAAAGTGACATCAAATTATGCCACTCAACTAAATGAGGTTAGAAGAGACATACGTAATGTCCTGGACCAGCCAACACTAATTCCCAGAGATAGAAATAAAAAACAATATTATGAAGAAGGAGATAAATGTGGAAAGTCATTGGTCCCTAATTAAAACATAACACGAATCAAAGATAGAACTGGGAAAATTCAATATTCTCTGTCCTCGATAGTAGAAACTAGGGATGCTCCGATACCACTTTTTTAAGACCAAGTACGAGTACCGATACCTTTGATCAAGTATTCGCAGATACCAATTACCGATGCTTTTTCTTAAAGGGACAGGTCACATTTTTTCTAAAGCAATACAAACTAATGCTTTAAGGTCACTTTCTTAATATTATGATTAATGAGATGACGAGGGAGCATGACGCCGGCTTCCCGGCCAATCAGAATGCCGGGCGCTGCGTCATTACACGGCGCCCGGCTTCCGGATTTGCTAGCTTCCTGACCAATTGGGAAGACGGGCAGCGCGTCATTGCACGCTACCCGGCTTCCTGATTGGCCGGGAAGTCGGCTCCATGCTCTCTCATCACAAGTGACGAGAGAGCATGGAGCCGTTTCCTGGCGTCCGAGGAAACCAGGCAGCGTGTAATGATGCGCTGCCCGGCTTCCTGATACAGGAAGTACTCGTGCTAGGTATCGGAGCATTTGGGCGAGTACGAGTACTCACCCAAATACTCGGTATCGGCACCGATACTAGTATCGGTATCGGTGCATCCCTAGTAGAAACCTTTGGAAAATGTTATGCTTCCCTATATTCAATACGAGGGAAATATGCAGATATGCCACCAGATAGTTATATAAGTAAAATAAGGGAGCACTTAAAAGGGGCAAATGCGCCAGGACTCGACATGGAGGATGGAGAAAAATTGAATTTGTCAATTTCAGAAAAAGAGATAAAAGAGGCAATTGCATCATTGAAGGTCAACAAAGCCCCAGGGCCCGATGAATACACGGCCCGCTTCTATAAACAATTTGAGGAACAATTGAGACGCTTTTTCACAAAAGTATGTAACTTAGTCACCGAGGCTTGCCCCTTTCCCTCTCAGACACTGGAAGCGCACATATCTGTGCTCCCAAAGCCAGGGAAAGATCGAACAGAATGCGGACACTATGGCCCAATTTCCCTTCTGAATTTAGATTTGAAATTATATGCAAAGGTGCTGGCCTCTAGGCTAAAAAAGGTCATACCTAAAATTATACATATGGACCAAACAGGTTTTGTTAAAGGGCGGAAGGCCAGAGACAGTACAACCAAGGTGATTAATTTAATAGCACTCGCACAGAAGGAAAAAAAAACACTTTGTCTCCTGTCAGTCGATGCAGAAAAGGCATTCGACAGAGTAAACTGGCATTTCCTCAGAGAATCGCTTCTACATACGGGAATGGGGGAGTCTTTTGTATCTAAGGTGATGGCATTATATACAACTCCTTCAGCAAAGGTAAGGGTAAATGGGATCTTGTCAGGTCCCTTCCCCATATTAATTGGTACCCGTCAGGGCTGCCCTCTATCACCATTATTATATGTTGTTGTAATGGAACAATTAGCTGCTACAATTAGACAAAATCCCTCAATTGAGGGTATGATGCGCCCTACACAACAACATAAACTGGCTTTGTACGCGGATGACCTACTCTTAGTTATAACCTCACCAGTAGTATCAATACCTAATATACTTAAGGATTTGAAGAAATATGGGGACTTGAGTAATTTTCATATAAATGTATCGAAGTCAGAATTTCTGAACATTTCATTAACGGATAAAGCTCAATCCGGGATCAAGGAGAATTATACATTTAGATGGCAGCCTGACTATATTGTGTACCTGGGCATCAATATACCTAAAGATCTTAATACTCTTTACACCATTAATTTCAGAGATTGGGTAGATAAAATTTTCACCCATTTTTCTACATGGAACTGTCTATGCCTGTCATGGTTGGGCAGGGTAAATGTCCTGAAAATGGACATAGTGCCCAAAATCCTGTACAGGTTTCAGACAGTCCCTATATCACTACCAAACCTCTTTTTTCAAAAACTCAAAACGGCAGCTATGAAATTCGTATGGGCTAATGAAGCCCCACGGATTAGTGCAAAAGTATGAGACCAAATGAGACCAAAACACAGAGGAGGATTGGGTATCCTGGATTTTGCATTATATCATAAGGCCGTCTTAATATCAAGAATCCTTGACTGGATACATAACAGCCAAAATAAAGGGGAGTATAGAACACATTGGTCTACCCTGCCATTTTTGGTAAGACCAGTAATACAAGCATGGGATAGAACCATAGACAAATATAACCTATCCTCCAGACCCGGGTCACTGACTCCCATAACAGGAAATCCACAATTCTCACCGGGTATGCGGGTGAGTTCCCTCCTTGACCTTGAGAGTACTTCGCCTATACAGATATGGCAAGTCCTAG